TTGTTGTTGTTATAATTGGTGACGGTATAGGGCTGAAGTATGCAAAAACGAGTATCAGCAATCGTTGATTTGATAACCAAGAAACAATTGCTTGTTTGTAATATAAAGAACAAAACCAGTGCAACTCTTTTAAAGACAACAACTGATCCTCAACAATCTTTGGAGAGTATCTATTTTAGACATTGCATACATATAATGTTGGCGATGTTGGTAACTTACAAAAAACACATAGTAGAATCCTACACAGTTGATAACAAACAAAACTGAGACATAAACATCATGGCCCATAGCTTCCTAAGGGTAAAGAATAACACATTGTTACAGTAAAACACCTCTTATATTGGCAAGCACTGCCTTATACAATGATTTTCACAATTCAGTGTAGGCATTTAGACAATGGGCTATTTCTCAGTGTCAAAATGAGTCTTCGTGCAAAACCATTGATATTAAAATGTCTTCCCCCTACAGGTTCTTTTTCGTGCGAATCAAACTTGTCTTCATATGAAACGTTTTGCACGAGTACTCATTTTGAAACAGAGGCTCAAGGTAACTGGGAAATGGCCTATTAGACAAGAGAAAATGACTACAATGTACATACATGTCATAAGGTAAAGTCTGTGTCGGGGCAACTGGCCCATACTGCCACAGTTTATCTTGGTTTCTGCAACATTAAGCAACTACAAGTACTTCTACTCTCCCTGGATGGAATGCTAGTCCATTGCAAGGTGCAATGTTATATACATGTACATTATTTTATCACAATTTGAACAGGGCGCTAATTAATGGCCATAATCCATAACACCTGTTACTGCTGAGCATGCTTGATGCGCCCTTGATGTTACAGGTGAACTTGCCTGTTGTTGATACAATTCACCCACGAGGTAACAAGTTTGTTACAGGAGTGAGAATCAAGGCAACAGGTGATTCAAAATATTGACACCCCTGCATAAAAATTAATGATGCCTTGTGTACTACATCAACCATGCATGTTAATGCATGCGCTACGCATGCATAACTCCACGCATACATAACTCCATGCATGCAGTTGCATACAGTTATGGCATTTCCTGGTCGATGATTGCTAAATTAGTTTTTGTGTAAGGAGCTACCTGTGGAAGGTTTTGATTAGCTCCAATTGTCTTTATGTGCTTATAAATGGCTTATCCTAACTCCCACACGTGAATTTAGTGTTAACTANTTTATTTCTTTTTGGCCTTAAATAAATGTATCTAATTAAAGGGTATATAATTAGTATTACTATATTTTGCTCCTTCCACTTTCATTTTACTACACTTTTTTATTATCAAGTGGATAAATATTAAAAAAAAAAATACAAGTAAAATTTCTACTCACATGACACTGCTGCTCTCACAAATAACACATTGGCCACCATTACTTCAATCATGAAGAACACGAAAGCCCTGTGGTTGTTTCTTGCCACACAGCTCAGGAGAAACAGACAGTGGTGATCCAAACTCAGAAAACATTTTTCACAAAGTCGGCAGTGCTTAGTGAAGTCAGGCATTACAATCTGGTAATGGAACACAGTACAATATGTAAATCCCTTTTATAATCACCAACTCTATTTAAACCACCTCTTGAGGATGATACATACTACAGTGTAGTTATACAATGCTTTCAAGTGGTATCCCATGGAATATCCCATGAGTCACTTTAATTTTCTCGTTATACACCCAAGCCTTTAGGCCCTAAAAGTAAATATCTCTTGTCACCATCTTCAAATCCTTATGAATTCCTTTCACATACCCATTCAATTTTTCAAAATCTATCCATTAGTGTTTAGTGTAAACTCACATTAACTTCTACACAAATTTCTCAACTTTCACATAAAATAATCCTTTTGTTTCCATGCTTAACTGGAAATTTACAAAGTCAAGTTCATTGTATCTACACTTAATTATGTAATCAATAACTTGTGATAATACATTTTTCATGGCTAGTCTTACACAGTATTTCGTTTCATCCCAGCCAAGGGACTCTTCAGAGACCTTTCAGCTTGGCAAACTCATTGGGCATTGTGCCCAAAGTTGCCAAGTAGTTTGCCAAGCAGAAAGGTCTCTGAAGAGTCCCTTGGCCGGGACGAAATAAAAGAGCTGCATAAGACTAGCCACAAAAAATGTATTATCACAAGTAACTGTCAACTTTATTGTCAATATTTCAATAGCATTAAAAAAAAAATCATATCTTTAGCTTCACCTCCTCCTCCAGGCTTCATACATTTACCCAGCACCCCCACACCCCCACCCTTCTCCTGTTGCCCTCAACAGTGGCTTCTTTGAGGAAAGTTAGAAACCTTGTTTTTATTTCTTACAATATTAGCATTCTTCACTTTAAATTGATCATAATGATTGTTTGAAAAACACATTGCTTGTCATGATCTGCATTGTACACAGTACCTCACACACTGTACAGAAGTTGCACTCTGATACAACATCTTTTGCAACATCAAGAATGGACTGTGAAAAAAAAAATGCAAATTGTCAGTAACTGAGCAATAAATCATAATTTTAAGTAAATAAAACAAATCAATGTAAACTACAAAAATAGATCAGAGCTAAGGAAAGGATGTCTTCCTCTAAACATTCTATTCTCCATGTCTGATNAAAAAAAAATCATCAGTCAGTTAAAACCCATTGTAAACCTGGCACCTACTGTACATTAAAAAAGTATCATGATCATGACAGTTACACATTATTCCAAAGGATATGAGGCATAATGTATAAAAAATAGCATAACAAGCTCTGTATTATTAGCCCAAAGAAAAAGCCAGCTAGTGCAGGATTTGGAATTGCAGAAATGTGCTGTAATCTGTGCTTAGAGAATGACCACACATTGAAGAAGACTATGATTCCCATGGTTGCCAGTGTTGCAAAGAGTGTGGAAAGGTGATGGAATGACAAAGCAATGAAGAAAATTCCAAATGACGGTGAGAGGAGTAATAGAAACCATGGTATCCAAGGATTGGGTGGCCGACTGCGTGGACAGCGACTGGCTTGCCAGTACTTGAGGTGTCTCTGGAGCCAGAGGTGTCTACAAGAGAACATCAAGCAGTTTGAACACCATGTTGAGCATTTAACTTTGAATTCATATTTAACATGTTCTTCAAGGCAGGGTGTATTGAAAACCAATTTTCCAGCTTGCCATCTTTGCGCAACCTGTATCTGTCTTGCAAAGTTAAGTCTGTGTCCGGCCAGGCAGAGCTTATCTGAGTTTCTCTTACTAGCATTTAAGTGACTAGGGGTATTTCTCCTCCCCACTGGATGGGCTACGCACAGCATGAAATTCATCAGTAGTGTACCTGTTAACACAGTCATGTACACCTGGGTGGAGAGAGGCATTGTGTGACTGAAGTATGTTACCCAAGAACACAAAGCAGCAACCCTGGCCAGGGCTTGAACACAGACTGCTTGATTCGGAATCTAACACGTTAATTATTAGGCCTCTGTAGGCCTCTTTCAACCCTTCTTTGTGTAGTCAATGCAAGTGTTCATCAGACAAGCAACACCTGAGATTCAACACAAAGACTCCATCTAATAATACCCTGGTTGAGGTACAACACAAGATCTGATAGGATCTTATATTAATATGATCCTGTAAGATCTAAAGGCTATTGGCAAAAATCACCATGTACTTCATGATCTCAGTCAGCTACTCTGCAGGGGTGACTTTAAAAAAAGATGGCACAATCAGCTGCCAAATCCAACAGTAATACTGCCTCAGATTTCAAAAATTTGTGGCAACCCTGAGCTTTACAACGAACTTGATAGTGCATGATTATCAGATGTTTAATAATTTCTTCGTGCAAGAAAGTACAGGTAGGTATAAGGACTACTCTGAAGAACTAGAGGCTGACTGTTCTCTTGTCACTACAAATTTTTTCTCTGGACATACATGTATACCACCTCGCTCTCTACAGTACATACGGCACCTTGGTGTTTTTCCTTCAGTGGTGTAGTCCACAGGTGTTTTCCCTGTAACATCTGGCTCATTGATCATTGACAATACACTTTTACTCTCTAGGGTCCATGCTACTTCACTGCAGAAATAAATAAATTAAAATTAAAATNTTATACGAGAGCAAATTTCACTTCAATCAATTTTTCATCATGGACAGTGAAATTGCACTAAATAAATTTAACTTCTTGTAACTGGCTAGTGTTTACTAGTGTTTACTTGTAGACTTGATGACCTTTTGAGTATACAACTGTATTATCCAAACATAATTTATAATTCAATAACCCTACATAATGTCTTAATTATAGAAGTCACAACAAGCTACATGTACATTTGTAGAACTCAGAATCTCAAGTGTGCAGTTTTCTCCGAAGGACAGTCTTTGACTAAAACCAAAATCACCGGCTGAATACACGTAACGATCCAAAATGTAGCCCACTAGCAAGAAACCGGCCCGACTACAAACTAATCCCAGCAAAACAAACAATAATTTAATACCTCTAAATCGATCTGTCATCAGTTTCGAATCATGTAGCTTTAGCTAAGTGAACTATTTTTAGTCAGCGTATTTATAATTATATACCCACACTGAACCACTTTTAGCAGCGTGATGAATACAAGTCCTCCCAGCGCTATCTTCCGCTCTCAGCTCTGCACCGATCTCCAAGAACTTGTGTATAAATTTCACGGAAGCCGCCTGACAAGCGAGGTGAAGTGGAGTCTCTCCATACGCATTCGGTCGGTTCACGTTCGCTCCATACTCCAGCAACAAGTCTACCAGTTCTTGGTTACTCTTTAATGCCGCTTGATGTAAAGGTGTTAAACCGTGCCACCCTACAGAATTGGCGCATTTTGGATCGACTTCTAGCAGGTGCTTCAGATCCGAAACTTTATCGTTCAAAATTACCTCGAAGACCGCCATTTTTAATTTGCAATCTTGTTTTGTCATTTGTGCTACCGCTGGCAGGTGAAGACGTAGACCGCCTACTCAACAGTGCCACTCCCGAAAACAGATCACGTTCCACGTGCACGCACAATCACGCTTCACGAGAAACAAGATCTCTCTTCAAACAAGATCAAACAAGAGCTCTCTTCAAATCTTCAGATCTCGCTTCTAGGAAGAACGACATACTAATGATACTAAAAATTGTACATGTGTATCTGAAAACGGAAGAACGATTTGTTGGAGGTTTAAGTGGCAGGCAAATTTATCCAACACTTTTCCAGTCCTGGCCCTCTCTCTGTCACGCATAGCATAGGAGAAAGGATTACCTTCTCTTTCAGTAGCAGAACTCTGGACCACCAACATCCGAACTTACCCACCACACGCGTGTAGCTCCTTTCCCCTAACGCCACTTGTGGAAACCAGGAAGGCCAGAGATGACATGTTTGGGGTACGTACGGTGGTGTGGGCGAAGGTTGGAAATGACCCTGTTTAGGTCAAAGTTCAGGTTTCGCAAATGACAAATATCAACTATAGAGCAAGGTAGAAGGCAAACTATTTTGTTTACTGAAGTGAAACGATACACACACACACACACACACACACACACACACACACAACATAAAAAAGAAAAAAAACTAGAGAGAGTATATTTTGTGGACTGATAATAAAATGTAGCTTTGAGTTGACCCAGCTTTGCATTTTAATGCGGATTTGCTCTGGGTCCCTAAGTATATTTTCCCACGCGCCGATATCGCGCGCACAGTGAACAAAAAAAAAAGAGTCATCAAGTCGTGCGTACGGTATTTGAGGGAATCTGGGGACCACATGCCAAATTATGAAATAAATTAAACTGATAAATTATGATGAGAAAATAAATTACTGGTTGATAAAAAAGGTAACTGACCTTGACAAGGACTATCAAACTTCACCACGTCAGTATTTTATGGCTTCTTGCCCGAACTGGAACAAAGCCCATTGTTTTTAATGTTTTGCTCGCTCTGCCCTGATTGGTTACGATGTTATTGTCACTCTTTTATGGACCAAAATAAAACTGAGGTTTATAGACGAGTATGTACCGAATAGAATAACATTTCGTGACAAACGTTTTGTGCAAGAAAAGCTAGTCGGATTTGTTGAATCACAACATCACAGCACTTTAAAGGAAGTCAAGATTTAAGGTAACGTTTGCTTCGTCGAGTCTGTATATTCTGGGCAATATTTTATTCAATTCAACAGCAGTATAGTATTCAAATTCAATCAGGTAGGTCCTATCGATGTATTAATTTTAAGTCCTATTGCTTTGTGTTGGCTGTTCTGTTTCTAAATATTGTCAACATTTGTTGCAGGTTGGGTGAAACAAATATTTTGACTCTAAAGTTAAAATTACATCCCGTGATCGGAAAAAATTTGACGTTGTTGAGTTGAAATACCGGGAACCGGGAACGGTTCAATGGACTCAAACGAAGGTGCGTCGGCTAAAAACGAAAACCCGCGCGCTCAACTTGCCTCGACGGGATCAAGTTCTAATTCCCACAGACCAATTCACCACACAAGATCGGTGCCGCAATTCGGCGTCGAAGGAAGAAGAATTCATGCTCTACAAGCTGAGGAATTGGATGGGAGACGGTCTCGATCGCATTCCGAGCCGCTGACTCGAGAGGCGTTGAAAATAGCTCAAGAACTTCGAAAGGTCAGCGATTTGTTCAACACAAACTATGAAATTTCTTCGCCAACTCTGAAAAGCGGATTCAGCTATCGGCGGGACAAGTCTAGGCGAGTAACTCTGGCGGGATCCGGAGGGGAATCACTGAGACAGGAATTAAACCAAATGTTGGGTAACATGGACCCTTCAATATTCGATGACAATCCTTTACCCCCGGAGGGGACCCCTGTTTAACACCTCGCCTACCTCTTTTGCCGGTGTATGGACAAAGGTATAGAGAGCCAGAGACAAGTGTTTGAAATTCTGGGAAGTTTGAAATATGCTGTTTCTCAAGGGTGGCAAGAAGCCATTCAAATCAAGAAACATACAGTAAATTCAATGTTTGTGGTTTGTGCACCCCTGTTTAGTACATGTATGTCCCACCACACCCTTTTTTGGCCTAAATCCATGGGGTCACATCATGGCTGGCCAATCTAGCACTTCAGGAAATCTGTTCCGAACTTACTGCTATAATTTTCAGAAATTCCTCTCAGAAGGTCTTGATCAGCAATAATTGTCTTGTTTTCAAATTCAGTAAACTATCTTGGGCACTTAAATCTGCACTGGTACCCATTATCCTTCAAGCAGAAAACATAGCAAAATAAAATCGAGTACCCTGCATTTAGACAACTATTTTCAGAGGTGTCAAAAAGACGGATGTCTAAATTTACTTCTCTGTCTAATACAAGTGTGTCTAGCATTAATTTATTCTTAAACTATTCACAAACTAGGCAACGGATCAGAACTGTAGATCTATGTATTTTCATTGATATATATTCATGCATTCCCACCAGTTCAAGAATGGAGGCCTGTTAGTTAAAATTCTTCACTTTTGTGACGAATCCCAATTTCTCAATCATCCAAGCTACAATCAGCAACAAAAGTACAATGTATTAGAAAACAACACTTTTAACCTCTTATTCTATTTCATATACATCTAGCATTACTTCTGTTAAACCCAGTCACCCAAATTCTTTTTTGATCAGTCTTAGAAAGAGAAAAATCAACACAATTTGTTTGGGGGGGGGAGGGGGACAAAATGTTGCCATTAAGATGTTTAAAAATAGACTTTTACTACTAAGTGTCTCAACACTTTTGTCCCTTGTATGTTCTCTTCTTTTCAAGTACACTTAACCAACAAAAATTTAATAGGCCCTTTGCAGCTGGGGTCAGGTGACTAAATTTTTCCTAGAAAATTTTTATATTATGGGCTATAACTTAAAGAATGCCAGAAATAGAAAGAGCGCATCAAACATACTAAAATGGCCAAGTTTGAGGCCCTGCAGGAATTAAAGAGTAAGTTTATATGACAGTTTGAATTTTCAGAAAATTTAGAGGATTTGTATGGAAAATGTTGCTGGAAAGCAAGACCTTGGTCTCCAACAACTTTTTCCATAGAAATCTTCTTATTCTTTCAAAATTCAGACGGTCAAAAAATCTCATTCTTTAAGGATGGAGGCCTCAAACTTGGCCATTTTGATATTTTCAACATGCTTTTTCCATTTCTGGCATTCGTTAAGTTATAGCCCATAATTTTATGAAAAAAAGGTCATGTGATGGCTTAGCTGCAAAGGGCCTATTGGAAGGAAGGCAAGTCTGTGATATGAACAACATGAAATCTGCGTCAAGAAATCAGGAGTTTGGGATATCAGAGTTAAAATAACTGTGTTACAGAAATAGATTTTGGTTTGAGTTGCTGCAAGTTTCAAGAAATCAAGGGTTTGAGAAATAGGGATTCTATAGTAACAGTGAAGCATTATGGGCAGGGTTCTTCATCCACTCTTTCACAATCTTGTTCCTTGCTTTCAGCTTCTCTTATTTCAGTACTAACCCCAGCCGTATATTGTACATGTAGTACAGTGCCTAGTCATATTGATCACATATTTATGACAATAATGACTGCCTTTGGATGACAATGTACTTGTAATTTTTAACTTATTTTATTATTTTTATTAATTATTGTTGTCCATACTCAGTGCTGTCACAACATCCTTATTAGCTACATATAAAATTTTAGGTTGGTTGATGATGCTTTTTGTTGCAATTATCACTGCTCAGATGCTATTGCCATGCGAAATTTAAATAAACTCAATCTAGGTTGGTTTTTCTAGCTTTCATTAGACCTGCCTGGAAAATGTAGGGAAAAAGAGATTAACTATTGAAGAAAGTCATATATTAAATTCCGGGATTTATTGTGTCGAAGCTGCATTTTTCAGTTGCCAAAAACCTGGTCTGGAAAATGTCTGATCAGTGATGTCATAAACAACAATAATTGATTGAATTCTAATTATTGGGTTTTATGTGTTTGTATCAGATTTAAGCAATTGACATGATATGTATTAACATCTGTAACTTACAATGTATACATTATACTGCTATTTATTGTCCCCAAGTTCCCGGGAAACCTACAGATAACTGGGTATTTTCAACAAGTTCTGCACTACAATGTTCATTAATTTCCAGTGTTATCATTCATAATAATTAAGCACTTGCTTGATTGCTGGCCACACAAACAGCAGGTGTGTGTAGACTGTTTAAGCTCATACATTTAATAACTTTATAATTTTCTGCAGCATTGTAACCTCAAACAGAATATTTTCCTACAGCTGTAACATAATAGAATGTATCTTTTGCTACATGTACTTCTAATCTTTGATATCACCAAGAAAATGATTAATAACTATTACTAACAGTATACTAAAACAAGGACTTTTTGTGTTCTACAGCTTCTCAGTTTTTTCAACTTGAATAATTGTCATAATTTATAGCAACACACTATTACTTGGAAAGGGGTGGACCATTTGACGTTTGAGGGGGTTTGGGGGTGATCTGGTACAGGCATGATTTTTTTTAATTACCCCTTTCATGCACTAGGAAATTTTTTCTTGGCATGTGTATGCATGGAATTTTTTTCTCTGTATAGTAACATGCTATTTTTTGGCTCACTGAATGTGTGTGAATTTTTTCTGGCAGTGATCGTGTGCATGAAGTTTTTTTGGTACAAGTATGCCTGCAGGAAAATTTTTCTAAAATCCCCCCTAGCNCCCCCAAAAAAAAAAGTCAAATGATCCACCCGTAAGACAAAGTTAATAACTTGAGAACAATAGAAATCAAAAACGTACTTGAAAATGTCAATGATTTGTAAAGTTAGGTTCTGTTTTCTGTTCTGTGGAGAACTCAGCATGGTCTGACTTTGTAGTTATATGTAAAATAATGATGTCTTAACTAGTAATAGCATTGAAATTGCAGTTGATCGTGTATCGATTAGTAATTTACATGTATTTGATGTTTGAATTTTGTTCTTGTTAATTGGGCAAGTGCGATCATCAACTAGGAAAATGTAATGTGGTTTTAAGTTGTATTCTGTGTTGTAACATTTTAGACTGTAAATTACATTTGGTACGGTTGGATGTTGAATATTGCCTTGGAAATACATGCAGTTAATTTCTAAGAGGAGCTTAGTTGTCATTCAATTAAATCCATTAGCCTGGATAAATGTTTTCCAATTGTCTATCAAAACAGTTGTGTTCCCTAAAAATAGCTACCAAGGGTCTCTGATTGTCTCTTAAGCATTTTTCAAATGCCAAGTTCTAGAAAATAGCCATAACTCCCGCTTGTAAGGTCACTGGAAATTGCAATGGGGTCAAGTCGGGAGTCCCCCCAAACCAATCTAATTAAATTAATGGAAAGTATCTACTACAGCAATATATAGTAAGGATAATGAATATTTTCTCTGACCTTCCTTTAGTATAAGAAATTGTGACATGGATTATGTTAGCTGTTTCCTGTACACTCCAAAATACTTTCTGTACACAGTGCATAATCATTCATGAC